TTAGTAGAGACAGGGTTTCACCATGTTGACCAGGATGGTCTCGATCTCTTGACCTCGTGATCCACCCGCCTCGGCCTCCCAAAGTGCTGGGATTACAGGCTTGAGCCACCGCACCCGGCCCATGCATACTATGTTTAATGCATCATGCTAGGATGGAGTGGGAAAAAGAAATAAATAATAGGCAATCACTTATCTGGTCATCTGGTAGGAGACACTAGCGGGGAATGTGGCATAGTGGTTAGAAACTTGGGGTCCAAACCCAGAACACCAGGATAAAAATCCCAGTTATATCATTTATGTGGCTGTGACTTGCACTTCTCTGATCACAGTGTCCTCCTCTGTAAAATAGGGATAAGGCTCACATCATCCAGGTAGAAGTTGTGAGATTAGTGAACCACACTTGAAGCATGTAACATCGTGCCTGGCATGGAGTGAATACTCAGTATTCATCTGTGCATGCTCGTACATCAGGACAGAAGGAATTATGTTTCAAAATGATGATACATAAAGTTCAAGATTCAAAAGAACTCCAAAAATAAACACTGGCAATGGGGCCCAGAGAAAGCATTGCAGAGGAAGAAGAATTTGGTTTAACCGTAGCAGATGAGCAGCGTTTTAATACAACAGTAGATAAATGGCATTTAAGAATGATGGACAATTCAGGAAGAGGGAACAGCATGGACCAAAATAAGGGTATGTGAAATGAGCAGAAGATCCAGAATTTCTGATTTGTGCAGGGTTTCTAGAGCCTACGATTCACAGATGTATAGGGTAGGAGATGTGGCTGTCAGGGAAGTTTGGATTGAGACTGTGAAGGGACTGAATGCCATATTAAGGGAGATGGACTTTATCCAATAGATAGCAGGGAGCCATTGAAGGTTCTGGAGCTGAGAACTGAGTGACAAGATCTAATGCGTACTAGTCATTGAGTAAAGACTTTTATTAGAGCCTTAGTGGCCAGAAAAATAAATTAGAATTTCCTTTTAATCCCCCTTTTTTGCCTCATTTTCTGTTAGACAAATAGTTCTTTTTCATTAGAAAACAGAATCTTATGGACTATTATAAATGGCAACCATTACTCAGTCCCAGTATTGGGCAGAATAGGAAATAGTAGGGCCCGTGGAAGATTAGAGGCCACGTACCCCTCAAAAGGGAAAAACACTTCTCAGCTTTATTCAATATTTACCAAGTAGGAATGCAGGTCCAATGTTAATAAATATTACGATGTTAATAAAAGTGTAAAATCTATGTTTTGATGTAAAATGCCTATTTTTTGTTTTGCTTTTCTTGTTGTTTTAAAAACTACTTTTAAGCTCTACAGACTAAACAAAATACGTCTGTAGACTTAATTTGTCCTCAGGGCCGTCAATTTGAGGCCTCTGGATTCCAGCTGATCCAGAACAGGTATTAATCTGGATACCCAGACACTTTATAATCATTTCACAATTTCTGTTGAAGGACTCAGAAATAAAAACAAAGAAGGATAATGCCATAGGCAAGAAGTATGCCCTATTAATCAAAGAAGATATTTTAAAAGCTTAAGCTTAAATTTTCTAATGTGAAGCAAATAAATAAAAATAAAAACAAGCTAATACAAATAAACCCAAAAGGTACAGAGGGAGTTCTATGACAGCCATGGGTGGATTATTCACGGTTAGATTCACATTCTAGGAGTATGATTTTAAATTCTAGCTGACATTTTTCACCAAACTTACTTGATAAAAGCTATGGTCCAGTACAATGGAAATAACTTAGGATTTGCAGTTTGAAAAATCTGCAAACTTCTAATTTTGACAAGAACATGTGTAGGCATATTGCTTAGAGCAGTTTGTATCACTTATCCATTGCTAAGTACTGCATAACAAACAATTACAAGATATTAGCATTATACAACAATAAGCATTTGTTGCTTACTATTTACGGGGTTCAGCTGATCTTGGTTGGCCTTGTTCCTTTTCTTTTTCAGGGTGACTTCATTCCACATCTCTCACCCTCTTCCTTGCACTGGCAGCCTAGCCTGGCCTTATTTTTCTCATGGTGATGGCAGAGCTGCAGGTGAGTAGGTAGGGATTTATAAGCCCTCTTGAAGCCTTGGCTCACACCTGGCACACCATCACTTTTATTAAAAATTACCCAAAGTAAGTTGCTTGGCAGAAAGCCTGGACATACAGAGGCATGAACAATTTTTGCAATCTGCATCACAAAACAAAACTGAAGGTGACTTAGAGTCAACCAACAGAGAATGGGGAAATGATTCAGGTTGCAGTCTCAAAGTGAAACACGTTACAGCAATAAAGACAATGAATGTACCAAGACAGCATTCAGCAACATGGATGAATCTTACAAGCCTATGATTTCCAAAAGACAGACAAATGCAAATAAATAAATACAATATGCATCTACTCCAGTAACATTCACAAAGAAGCAAAACTAAACTATATTGTGTATAAAAATTCATATAGGTCGTAAAATCATAAAATAAAGAAAATGGTTACCAGAAAAGTCAGAACAGTACCTTTATCTATTCTGGGTGTCCTGATTCAAAAGGAGCACCCAAGGGAGATGGAGGCTTCTATATCTTGACCTGAACGACGGTTATTCAGGCAATGGCTTCATAATTATTTGTTAAACCATGCATTTATATTTTAGGCATTTTTCTCTATGGGTGTTATAACTTATCATAGTTGGATTTTAAAGTTCAGATCTACATCGAAATGCAAAAATAAAACTTATGGGTAACAACATCCAATTTTGCTATTTGACCCTGATGTGCTGGGAGGGGGCTACATCACCTCTGAACCTCTGTTTTTTCTTTTTTGACAGTAGAATGGTAATAGTCTCACTCGAGCTTGTCCCAGGGGTAGATAAACAGATGCCTAAATGAGAATTTTTTAAGTATTAGTAAACTAGGTGCAGAGGTGGAAAGCCTTGATATTTGACATATAGATGAAAGGAAGACTAGTTCTGAAGCCTGCTTCCTAGTAATGCTCTTAGCATTTTCTCTTGTTTGTTTCAAGGAGAAAAAAAAGGCAGTGGAAGAACTCAAACCCAAGCCTATGTGATTCCCAAGTAGCAAATTCAAGAGGCTGGATATGCATAAAACAACCACATCGCTGTCTGCCTCAAGCCTGTGTGAGAGCCCCCTGGTAAAACTCGGATTCACCTGAATATGCAGTGCTTGAGTGATCTCCCGAGGTCACGGCCCTACCACCCCTGTGTGAAGAAGATAGGGCTGGGGGGCTTCTGACTGCATAAGTCAGACCCATCGTGCATCGTGGTGGTTATTTACACTGAGGACTGGCAGCGTGGCCCTGGGGTCCTTCAGCTGCTGCAGGAGAGGAGCTTGGCGCAGCTGGCCACAAGACACTGGACTCCTTTCCATTCTGCTTGTTAGATGGACCTGGGTCCCGGTGGGAGGTCCAACCCCATAGAGAATGGTTATCTTTAAACCCATCCTTCACTCTCTTATCAGTGGAGGAATGTGGGAAGATGGCAGGCATTAGCTGTGTAGGCATTTGGGATTTTGTGCGGGTAAGTGTGTCAGAATTGGAGGCTTACGGGCCTTCAACACATTCTCAAATCAAGTGAGTGCAATCTGCCCCAGCAGAGGTCCCTGAAAGGAAGTGTAACCTTCTCAGATGGTGCAGATTCTGCAAACAAGAACTAACATTTCTGAGTCCTTGCCATTTGCAAACATTGTCTTGAGAGACTTATGTGAACAACCTCACTGAATCTTCACCCAACATTTTTTAGCCAGTAGTAGCCAGGTCCCATTTTTACCCTTTTTAACAGAAGAGTGAGCCAGGAAGAAATGACACAGAAGCCTGAGATCACACAGCAAGATGGCAGATTATGGATCTGACAGGTGTATCCATGCTGTGGAGAGCGTTGGTTTGAGCAGCAATGAGAGGCGGGTACCAGAAGAAGTTAGAAATAGGTACAAAACGGTGATGCTCGCCAATTTTCCAGGGCTTTCTTTAGTGGCTTTGCTATTTTATAGGCATCACCCACATACACACAGGCAGACACAAACACGAACACATTTCCAAATTTAAGTAGAAAGCCCATTCCAAAACTAACTACCAGAAGTGATTCTTTGATTCCCCCACTGTTTCAGATCATTGGCTCCAATATTTAACTGTCGGTTTGGTGCAGAAAGTAGAGAAATTGACATGTAGCATTTGCTGTCAGCCAAGGTTGCTATACCATTCTCCAGCCCACTTTGGGTCCATGAGTTGTATGTCATCTGCTTCAAAGTTTCCCTTTCTTACTAGAAAGGGAGGCATTGGAATAATCATTTAGAGCAGGTACAACCCCCCCACCCCTAAGCTCTTACGGCTGGAAAGCCTTCTTTCCCACCCCTCACCCTCCCCTGCCACAGCTGCAGGGGCCTGGTCCTCTCTGCTTTATAGAGAAGGGAATTCCAAGGAGAACCTCTGCTGGTTTATTTTTAATTGTTGACCTCCAAGGCCTTCTGTTTGCATCTGTTTATTAAATTGCGAGCTCAGCTGTGAAATGCCCTTTATGGTGTTGTTTTATTGGTGGGCCATTCAGGGACCCAGCGCCACACAAACAGGATAA